CCCTACGTGGTTTGCCCAATCAATCCCTGCAGTCTGATAAAGGCGGAGATGAATGAGAAGTATAGATGTACAGAATCCATAAAAAAAAAGAAAAAAATATAAAATGACATAATTACAAAAGTCAGGAGCAACACAACCAAGATATTTTCCATAGTTAAAAATGCTTGGTAATTCCTTCTCCTGTAAAAATTTCAGGAAACCCAGAATAAAATTACAGCCCAAGTTATAGTATGAATTATAACAGAGATTAACCCAATCATGAATTTGCCTTACTCTGCACAGGAATTCTCATTGTCCTCTTCGCCACAGGACCCTAACTACACAAAAATAAGAAGAGATTAACAAATTAGAAAGGATGATGAATAATGGTTAATGATGCAATTCATGAAAAAAAATGGATATGGTGTGAAATTTTCTACTTTGGACTTGAACCTAAGTGACCCAACTGGCTGGCCAAAACGTTCACATCTTCCTCTTCGCTGCGTTCTCCGTCAAATTTCTCACTCAGAAGCTCCTCCCAAAACCCTCATCCAATTCTTTATCCCCACTCTCGAACTGCTGAACTTCTTCTTCTTCTTCTCTTCTTCTTTTTCTTCTCTCTCTTTTCTCGTTTTCCCATACCCTGCATCTCCATGGCAAGTGCTTCCAACTCTGAAACTCCAGATCCAAATTGATCTCCGGTTCAAGAGGTTCAGCTTTTATGGGATTGAATTTGAAGTCAAACCCTTCACCAATTTGACTTGTTTCACCACTTGGGCCTTGATCAATTGGTCTTCTCCTTTTCTTGCTAATGGCTTCTTCAAGCTCTTTTCTCTTTTCCTTCTGCTGGACTAGCCGTTGAATAAAAGCTGGTTCTGCATAGCTCTGGCCAGAAAACTCATCATTTGCTGCTGCCTCTTTTCCGTGCCTTGAAGCCTCATATCCATGGCTTGAAGGTGGGCTCTGGTGTTCTGCTGCTGCTGTCTCAGCTTCACCAGTTCCATCATTAAAATCTGCTTGTCACGCTTTAAACGATCAATTTCTCCGTCCAACCCGAATCTTCCAAGCTCCACACAGGCCTAGGGCTTGTTGGGAAGAAAGAGGATGTGAAAAGGTGTTTTTCTTCTCTTTATGTTCCTTAAAAGATGCTTCTGGCCCCTCAAAAACTCTTCGTTTGCAAATTCCCATCTGTCAGGATCGATCTTCTAAACCCTGCAAGAATCAAGTAGTTTAATTAATTAATTGCTTATTATTTATGATTTTGGGAGGAAGGAAAAGAACTGACAGTTTAGAGAGGAGGTTCAGAATTTTATTATTCCTACTTTTTTGGGCCAGCTAAACACTATCCATCTTCTGTCTGGAACTGGATTTCTGAAGGAAATAAAAGAAAGATTGGAGAAAACAAAACATAGCATACTCTGTTTCCTATAACTATCTTAGTTGACTAAGAAAGCCAATTTAAAACTAAACAAAATTTATAGTTTTTTTTTAATTTCTTTTTCTTGTCCTCGAGAAACCTACCTTCCAATCATGGTGTAATAATCTATATCCAAAAAGAACTCAAGAAAGAAGAATAAGAGGGAGCTTCCGACTTATAACTTATATTCCCTATTGAATTATCTATTGTCCCATCTGAATTTTGAATTTGTCAAAAGAAAAGGCAAACATAATTAGGTTGGAGAAATCAAAAATAAATTAAGGTTTTATAATCTTTTCTTGTCGATTAGGAAGGTGAGGTGAAAATAAATAAAATTTTACAAAAATGCAAAACTTAATGAAAATAAAAAAAGAATAGAGAAAAGATCATTTCTCTTTATTGTTCTTCTTAGCCCAAACAATCTACATTCCAAACATGGTATTAGGAAAAGTAGAAAAATAAGAAAGCTTCCGACCGACCTCCGACTTGTGAGCTATGCCTTGTCTACCCCTGTTGAAAATACCCTTTTGCTTCCAACATACAACTTTATTGTAAAACTCAAAATTTTAATTTTCCTACGTACCAATTTATATATATACACGTATGTGTGTGCGTGTGTGTAAAGAAAAAAACAGAGACCCCTTACGTAAGTGTTGAGCTGCCTGACAAAGCTAGAGAAGTTGTTATGCTTGAAGTATCTTGGAAGAAGATTAGTAGAGAAGGCATGTGGATCCCATACAACGAAGCTGTGACCCTCTCTGCTCCAAGAGACTATGCGATCGCTTGCTGGGTCATTCACCATGTCAAGGTCTTGGTCAGGAACGGCGGTGGTCCGGCGTCGTGAAGCCCCTCCATCGCCGCGGGGGTAGTGGTGGCGGCGGCGGCGGCTCGCCGGAGTTCGATCCCGGTACTCCTCCTTAACTGGGTATATGGGATTCATGCAGATTTGAAGACGAAAGAAATTAATTTCAAGAAAACAGAGTAGCCAAGGAAGTGAAACGAGTTCAAAGCTAAAATGAGAACCTCTGTAATCCAATAGGCTAAATAGAATAGAGCAGAGGACGGCGAAATGACACCAGATTTTTTTTGCCAAAAAAAAAAATTATTTATTTATTTATTTTAAATCTCCCTGCTCAATCTGGTTTTCTCCTGTAGCGGGAGGCAGTTTATGCCGTTAAGGAAGTTGGTTTGTTCTGTGAAGACGCATGGACAACGAAGCTTTGGTGGAGAGATATATGCAACTTGTTATGATGGAAGGTTCTGGAGATATTTTTAGTGGCTTTTTGGTAATTCCAGCTCTCTTTGTTTTGGGGGGAGAGGGAGTGAGTCTTAGAAGGTTCTGGAACTCAGAATGGAGGTTGGAGTGGGAGGGCGGAGGTGGAGCTACAGTGTGGCGCCCACAGGTATTTAAAATAGTGGTCTTGGTTTTATGCAGAGGTTTATCGCATCTGATTGGTCGATTGTAATACCCTCTCGCAATTGACTGCAACTTTGATGGGAATTTGGGACCCCCGCGCCCTCACAATACCCTCCTCTAACTTTTTAGAGATAAAAATTGGGATTCTCCCCCTTTTCCTTTTTAATTACAAAAGTCAAAACCCTTTAAAATTGTTTACACACTCTTCTCTCTCTCTCTCTCTGTGGGTACATATATATATGTACGTATGTATGTATATTTAGACATACACACACATGAGAGCAAATCAATACGTTCTATCTCGTTCCAGTCGGAAAGTTTCTTTGTTTTCTACACCCACTTCCGTGTTTGGGAAGAATTTTTTCTCGGCTTCTAACATATGTGGTCATTTTTTATTTATATATTTTTTATTATATTTATGTAGTTTTTTCTAATGAGTAACACGCTAACATATTAATTTATGTATAAAGAAAGTAAAATAAAATAAAAATTTAAATATTAACTTTTGATCAGTAAATAACACACTCAATTTCTTTAAATATTAAGAGAAAATAACAATTTGACAGTACAAAGAAAATAACAAATTTAATTTCAGACACTTGCAGATCTAGAAATTCCCAAATTTTCAAATGAAAACTAAATTACCTTAAAAAAGCTCTCCCAATCCCCTGCTTGAGATGAAACTTTCTTTCTTTTCTTTTCTTTTTTTTTTTTTTTAATCGAGAGGGAGCCACTCTGCAAACCAAATCATATAAGACTTTTACCACCTCTAACTTTGAGATTAAATTAATTTGAAAGAAGATGGATGAGTTATTTGAGTTTATAATGGTACATTTGCATCCATACTCTCCATCTAAATAAAAAAAAATAAATAAATAAATGTTATTATGAGTAATTTTTAAAGGGTAATATCATTATTTATTTATAATTGAACATATTGGACTTACCTTCCATAAATTTACTTTAACTAAAACTAAATTTTATATGCAACTCCCCCCAACAAGATTTCCCACAATCCAACTTGAATTAGCTTTTAATTCTTTTGACTTTACTTAAAAAATTGAAGGTAAAAAACCTAAAGAAATTTTTTTAATAATTTTTAATATTTATTTTTCAAGGAGGTGTTGAGTCCGCTTGTATTCATTTTATGGTGGAGCATGCTTTTAGGCCTTTTGAACTTGGACTGGCTCAACTCAAGAGGGCCAGAGAAATGGATTGAGTAAGTTTGGGTTGGGTCAAATAATTGGATCTAGATTGTTGGATTTAGGTTAGGCTCATTGAAATAGGCTTTAGGAGTGGACTAGACTTGCTAGATCAACCCATTAGGCTGAGGCTGATACGAAGTAGCTCGGCTACAGTTGGATCGAGCTAGCACACTAGTAGGCCACTTAAGCTAGCCCAAAGGCAGTTGGCTAGTTGGAACTAGTAGCCTAGGTCTGAAATTGGGCCGATAGATCTAGCCCAAACAAGATCGAAGTCGGTTTCGGCAGGCAGCTGAAAATTGGGTCGCCATCATAGAGAGCTTCAGAAGCTTTGTAGGAAGAGGATGATGGCTGCGACAGATTTGACCAACGTCAACGATGCAAATAATGGGAGCGATTAAGGCCAAATCAAAGCATGGCAAACGAATCGCAATAGAAAGACTGAACCAGTTAGAGTCTGATCAAGGAGATAAGTCCAAGCACGAGAGATTGCAAGAGGGATGTTCACGAGATCCAAACCAGATTCCAGATCAAGTGAAGATTAAATAAGGATTAAGACCTATCGACCAAGGTTGTTAATCGAAGATTTGGATTAAACTATTAGAGCCTCTTGAACCTCTATAAAAAGGGCCAAAACTCACTGTTTTAGGGGTCATTCCATCTGAGTGAAAGGATCAAGAATCTGTCTGGGATGTTCAGTTGATTGGGTTGGTGGCTTCATTCTTCACAAACTAGAGTAGTCAGATCTCTAGCTGAGTTGTAGAGACTAAACTAGAAGAGCTAAGGTTGAAGATGCGTGAGCTACATACACAAACGCGGAAGGCGCGCACGAGGACTTGAGCAAAGTTCAGCGCGTGCGACGTGTGTGAGACAAGCCAAACGCATGGGACAAAAGGTTTGCACGCGTGCAAGTGCGTGGATCCGTGGAGGAGATGGGCGAGAGAGAACAAAGGAAGTGAGTGCGCTCAAGATATATTCCTTGGCACATGAGGGTACCTGCCAAGTCAAAAAGAGAAAATGCGACATTTTCACGAAGAATTGAAAAATAAACAAAGCTTATTATTTTTGGGTGACAATTAAGCCAACCTCTAAGTTATTTTAGACAAAAAAAATTTTGAATTTTCATTTGACCCGTGGCACATGCCTTGGTATAGAAAAATATTGAGGGTCCCCCATCCTGAATCGAGTTACATAGGAGAAAAATAATGTAATTTAATACTTCTATTCTATTCTGACACGTGTAAGAATTATAAAATTTTTAATTATCTTAAATTTGAACTTTTGGCAGCAAATCTTTTCTTTTTGAGTCCACAATGATTGAAACTTAAAAAGAAAAAGGAAAAAAGGTGGCGGTTTGTTAATTGTTATTATAAAAGCGTTGATTGTTATTATTAGTTTTTATTTTTAACTAAATTTACTTAAAGCGATGTAATACAAGTTATAACAATTTATTTATTTATTTTTGAGCTAAAAAATAGGAGTTGAGTGGATCTTACACCGAATAAAACAAGAAATAAGATAATTCAATCTCAAATCAAAAGTAGGAGCACTGTTATTATAATTTCATAATATAATATATTATTTTCTTAGAAAAGAAATACGAAAAATAAAAAGTATATCAGAAAAAGTTGTGAATAGTGATTAGGTGCTTTGGAAGTAGTCCACAATCCCATCGCCCAGGAAAACAGAGTACAGTAGTAGAAATATAGTAATGAATGAACCTTTGACATTGTTGTTCTACGCGCTAACCAGAAACCTGCTCCCACCAAAATTGAGAAGCAAGTGTTTGGCAGTTTCTAACCATGATATGCGTCAAATAAATGTATGTTTCCCAATATCTTGGGGAAGTAACCTTAGAAACTAGTAAGACGTGAAAAAGCGAAGGGTGGAAAGAATCACCTTTAGTAAAAATTTTCACTTACCTCGAGTACAGCAAGTCATAGCTAAAACAGCTCCACGGTTAGCCTGCCGTGCACTGCAGAAAAACTAAATTCAGTGGAGAATTCAAACCCATTATTGTAGATCTGGGAGCAGCATACATTTTCCATATTTATTTAAACTCCATGGGAGCAAGAATATACAGTTTCCAAGCAAAACGTTATTTCTGTTTTCTTTCTATAGAAAAAAACAGGAACCTGTTTCTTTCATATAATACTGCAGCAAGTAGAAGAGCAATATTAATCCTTAAACACTACTAATCATTATTCCAAACCAGTTTTCATCTAGTCTTTGTCTATAAAATGACATGACTCAACTCTTGGCTTCAAGACAGGCATGCTGCACCACAGACAACATATTTTGACACAGCATCGGCAGACTCATCAATTCTTCAAAGAACCCATATCATATGACATGAATATAATTTCATTTTACCAGTACTAACTTTGGATAGCTGAAATCTAATATGAATTTAACTTGTTATTGATGTTTCTTTGAAGTATGCTACTGGAATTATATATGTATGATGAGTAAGCGAAAACCTCTAAACTTCATAGAACATAGGCCTTCAAAAAAGATCTAACTGCACATACTGTTTTGAAAGTTAAAATGATTATCTTAAATCAACTCCACAACCCAGCTACTTCTTGGAGAAAACTAGCTGAATTCAATGGAATTATAATGGCTGACAAGTTGTCCTCACTACCTTCTCCAATGCTTTGTTGACTAAGCAGTCAGCCAATGATAAATAGGATGAACAGGAGCTTGAGATTCCTGGCATCCCATTTACTTGGACATTTTCATTCAATAGAAGGTCGCAAACAGTATGAGGAGTTATACTTTCGAAGATGCCATCAGATGCAACCACCAAATAGGTATCTTGGTCACTTAAATATCGCCAATCCATCACTTCAGGCATGGGACTAACACCAAACCTGAGAATTTGAGATAAAAAATAAATAGACAGATAAATAATAAACAATCAAATTTTGAGTGTAAATGCCCCATTCTTAATAGCCTACCTGGATTCTAAGTGTAAAATAAAAAGGTGCAAAGTAAAATTTTATTGATGGAGAAAAGGGAAATATGAATTGGCAATGGGCTTTCTAAGAATGTTTGGTATAAAGAACACAATTTCCAACATTAGAACAGGCAGTGATAGAACATGCGCCCCCCCCCCCCTCCTTTTTCTTTTTCCTTTTAAAATATAAGGGAGAAAGGAAGAGAAATGAGCAAACTAAGCTACCTTTTTAAGTACACATCACCAATAGATCTGGATACAGCTAATATACCATTGACACGAGGCACGCCTAATGTACGTATAAATCCACCAGCTTCTATTCGGGTTCTCTCATCATCTCTATCTGGATGATGATCTCTGTCAGTTGTTCCACATTAATCACTGTTGTTGAAGTGCCTGTTATGTCCAAGTAACTTGCAATATTAAACTTCCAGAATTTTAATTGCAGGTTTACAAGTAAATTAGTCAGCATTGGCAAATATGAAAAATAAATGAGTGCCTAATGGATGTGATCCCAACAACAAAAACCTGATAACATCAGAAGAATGACCTTCATCCTCTAAGGAAGAGTTGATATTCTGTGAGCACAGGAGTGCCTTTGAATCACCAACATTTGCAACTAGTATTTGACCATCAAACAAGAGAGCAACAGTGGCTGTGGATCCCGAAATGTATCTTTTATTGAGAGCTTCCTAGAATATAATATGATAGCAATAAAGAGTTAACACCAATTTTGATAGCAGGAAAAAAGAAAAAACAAACAAAACACTACTTACAACTGAAAACTTCGTATCAATGTCATGAATTGTCCTCAACAAAGCTTCCTTTAGAATTTCATGCATGAATTCTTTACCAGATCTACGGGAACATGGAAAAAAATATAGATCATATAAGTCTAGGCATGATATAAAGCATTTATGCAAATTTAAGAATCCTCAAAAATTTGTTCACATGCACTGGCGTTCAATGGTGGCATCCATCACCATTCTACAGCCATCATGTATAAGTACTTGCTTATGGACCCAATCCACGAGCTGGTAGAATGGGATACAAATAATCAACAAATAAAACAACTATAAAGACTTAGTTTTTAAGCTTTTCATAGTTGATTTGTTTAAGGTCAACACCAAAATATCAAAAAGCTCATTCCATTGGGCTTCTGAAAAAGCCCTCGAACAAATTAGGGCCATTCTGAAACCAAACACTGCTTTTTGGAACTAAGAAAGTTTAAAAGAATGCAACTTAACCATCAAAATTTCAGGAACAGTTGACCTTGTGATGAAATAAGGAGGTGCATTCATGAATATGGGATTTAAGGTGAGTGGCTAATAATTAGGAAACTAAAACCACGTTGGATAACACAAAGTTTGATAGATAAAACATTAGTTTTTTTTTGACCCAAAAAAGAATAAAAGTATTTGAAGAGGCACCTTGCAAGATTTGAACCACAATACCCCAGTTTGTCTTTGTTCCTGTCTTCAAAGACCAAATTATGTTCTGCGTTGCAAAATAATGCTTGCTTGCATATGTTAAATACAACATGTACAAAAAAGTAATCCAAGAAGTTCTTTGATGCCATCTCACTAGCCTCCTTGCCACCATGACCATCAAATACTGCTGCTACACCAACCAAAAGTTCCTCAACCCCATCTTTGCATGTAGCAGAGTGACAGAGCAAGCAAAAAGGAAGGACAAAAAAGAAAAAAATCCAAAACAAAATTAGTGTATTCTCTTCAGGAACTTGTTAAAAAAATAAAAATAAAAATAAAAATCAAACGCATGGAAACTATCTCTTTCTTCATCAACAAAAAGCATGTGAAGTTTGTGCACTCTAGTGCATTGTAAAAGGAAACCTAATTGCCTTTATCAAAGTTCTCAGAGCTTGAAGAAACTGATTTGCTTATATATAATTGTAAACTTCTTGTTATTAGATCAACAAAAGAAGATAAAAAAGACGAGTTTTCAAGTTTTCTATAGTTCTTCCAAACAACGTGCAGGGGAAAAACAAATAAACTTTCAGGAAATGAGAATACCGAGAGAAGGGATGTTCAGCTTAAGATTGCATGCCAGGCGATCTTCTTGATACTTCCTATGGCCCTGAAGCATCGCAAACTGGCAGTTCTTGGTTTGATTATGAGATAAAGGATACAATTTCCAATGAGGACACTCCGGAGATTCTAAAACAGCTGGAGCACCACCTTCATCATAAACCATCATGCAAGATACAGATACGTCAGGGGCAGCAGAGGAAATTGCAGAAAGAAACAGTCCTACTAGTGCTAAAATACATCCTCTCATCATCAGTTTGTTGTAACTTGCTGCCCTGAAAATAAAGAAGATAAAGGGAAATATACAAACTTCAATGATGAATTTTGGGAACAAACAACGTGCTGTTATGGCTTTCTAAAATTACCATTATTGAACTGGTAAGCATCAGATGTCATAATTTCCTGAGTGAATAATTCAAGTAACAGATAAATATTGGAACATGCAAATGAAGCATTTGATGTAATTCCAACTTCTCCTTAATGTTACCCAAGTTGTGAGCATTTTTTACTATATTGCAGGCTGACTTATTATCAACTACCAATATCGTGTGGCTAGAAAACAGTGCTCTCCAAAACCTGGAAAAAGCAATCAATTATTTAAATCTGCTGCAAAATTCTTCTCTCTCTCTCTCTCTCTCACAAAAGAGGCGCTGCAAAATTCATTAACAAAAATAGCAGTACAAATTAACGGTATTCTCAAGGCAAGGAAAACAGAACAAAAGTAGCAATAGGAAAAGAGAAACCAAATAAAATATTATTCTGCTTGATTTCTGCCTTTTCTCTTTTCATTGTCTGTTGTACGAACTTAGTAGGAAGATTCGTACAGTGATATAGCTGGTCTCGCCTACTTTATGTTATAAGCAAATTCAAGGATAGAAAGATAGATAGTAGAATGTCAAAAGATACGGTGAAACCAATGCCCTAGAAAATGTGGTTCGACTGCACGAATATATAAAAACCCTTTATGTGCACATAATATTCAAACACACACACACACACACACACATATATATATATATATATATATAGAGAGAGAGAGAGAGAGAGAGAGAGAGGACGCACCTCGCATGGGTCGGGGATCAGAGAGAGGAAACGAGGGATTGATCTTCCAGCTGACTGACGCTTATGAATCGTGCCTTCACGGCCTCGGTCTAGACATTTATAGGGCCTTCTATTAGACCGTGGGTGATCGAGAGAATTTGGCTCGTATTTAATTGAATCCCCGGATATCAGACGCCGTATGGGACTAGGACCTCCGGCGACAAATAACAAGTTTAAAGATGGTTAAAAAAATGAGAACAATAACAACATCGGAATATTAGTAAAGAAAAAGATATTTTTTTGAGCATTATAAAATTTAATTAAATCTTCTTCGAAATCCTTGCTTATTGACCATTAAGCCTGATCGTCCGAACAAATTACCCAATTTAGCCCTATCTCATTCAAACTCCGAAGCCTAGGGACTTTTGGCAGACTAGTTGTTTGGCAGGACTTTTGGATGTTAGAAGCATAAGTCTTGACAACCTTTTTATTTTGCCACTCCAAACAAGCCCTAATTTTTCCGGACGGTGAAAAAGTACATGAAGAAAATACATGATCATGGGAAATTTTAATTGAACTATGTTACCAAAATTCCATTTAACCCATATTACAAAATAAATGAATAAGAGATGATACATGCAACAAGCTCACAAGTATATACGGGTGATAAACACAATATATTTTCCCATCTCTTTCTTCTCTGTTCCTTTTTCACTAGATTCCTAGTTTACAACTCCTGACAGTTTTACACGCTGTGGAGTTCCAGCATCTCTTGGTGGTTGGGTCCACAGAGAGAGCCGCTCGACAGTCCCGCAAGGCCCCCAGAACATCACCTATGTGCTCGTGAAATGCAGCTCTTAAGTGAAGAAGATGGAGATCTGCCCTGAAGGCTATAGCTCTCGATAGCTCTGCTATGGCTTCCTTTTCCTTGTGATTGTCCATCAACACTGCCCCAAACAACAAAGGAGGTTCAACTCATTGTCAGCTCACACAGAGTTTTGCACAGCAATTATGGACACATCATAATAGTAAGAAGGTCAACAAATAAAGATATCACATCTAAACCAGGACTGTTTAGACTTTGCCTTTTGTTTTCTGTTTTCTGTTCTCGTTTTCCATTTTTCTTTTCTTTTTTTTTTTTTGTGTTTCCACGAAACAGAAAATTATTTTTCCACAAAAGAAAATTATTTTCCACAAAATTTGTTTCTGAAAATTCTGCAATCAACCCTCTTTTATTCTCTAAAAAATGGGCTGCTTACAGAAAATTCTCCTAAAAACAGTACTTTCTGAAAACAACAAGCCAAATAGATTTTCTGTTTCTGTTTATATTCTGTGTTTCTCGAAACAGAAAACACTGAAGGTCCTGAAAATTATATTGTTTTCTGATCATTTTCATTTCAAGTGAAGAGAGTTTTCAAGAATTTTGAAACTGTCTTTTTCTGATTCTAAAAATGGTATTTCTGAGAATTCTCCTGAATACAGTTTTCAAAAACAACTTGCCAACAGATTCTTCCTGTTCTCTGTTCCTAGTTCTCTGTGTTCCAGAAACAGAAAGCACATCAAGTCTTGGAAACTATATGCTTTTCATATCATTTTCATTTGAGTGAACATAATTTATAAGAATTTTGAAGACCACTTTCTTCTTTTTTTAGCCTTCTAAAAATTATCCCATTTTCTGAAATTTCCCAGGAAACAGTTTCTAGAAATAACCTGCCAAATGGATTTTCTCTTCCAAAATAGAAAACTGTTTTCAAAAATCAAATCCAAACATCCTCCAATGAAATAATTAAAGTGATATCTTCTTGAAGAAAGAGAATTTTTGATTGGGCCGATTTCATGCATTTCCCTAGTTGAATACAATCTACTGAATTCTGCTAATATCCCAGCCCAAGATCAAATTTGTTTGACGATGTTTTTAATTTTCTGTTAGTGTTTCTGAATAACTTGCACTTGAGGTAACAAACAACCATCAAATATTGCCTTAGTAGTGAATTATAGAGTTACTTTGAGCTTTACTAAGAGCAACCACAGCATCAAGAGGTACAACAATATTTTATTTTTACATATTTTTCAGAAAAATACACTAATGGTAAAGAAAAACCAACCTGCAGCTCGATATCTGTAAGGGTAGACACGGAGGGGATCTAGACGAGTGACCATCTCCAAATCTGCCTTTGTAAGTTCACGTTCACAGTATTCTGACCTCTTCTCATATGCAGATGCATTATTTTGAGCCTTCTCAATCAATTTTGTCATTTCATTGTATGCAGCAACCTTGTCATCTCTGAGGTAATGCACCGAGCAAGACCCTGGTGGGCTCGGGTGTGCCGAATTTTAAGGGCGTTGATGTAGCAATCAGCTGCCAAGTCTAGTTTCAAACAGTCAACATACACACTTCCAAGATTGTTCAGGGCCTGATAAAATAAAAAATCAGTACAGGATTAGCAATCTAGTTACAACATGCAAGACACATGTAGCATACTTCAAATTGCTATGTATGTTTAGGTGAATATTAATTTCTTCCCTTCCTCCCTTTTTTGGTGGTTTTCCCTATTTTAATTCACCAAACAGCTTCAGTTATAAATTACAGACATCCCCAGTAGATATGAATTCCCATCATCATGCCATTAGAAGAAGGAAGCATAGAAGACAGCCCAACCAATAGAATTTCACTTCAAAGATGGTGGGATCCTCATAAACTTGGCAGCTCTTTTCTATTTGTGTAGTTTTCATAAAGCAGTCACTGCTGCCCATATTTCACACATTTTAGCTTTGACTATAATAATAGTCTAACTTCTCACAGGAGAAGCTATAGATACTTTGAGATATGCTTTAATCCTAGAATCACTTTTTGAAGAATTATAATTGAGGCCTCGAAATATCTAAGAAACATTTTTAAACTTTAGTACTGCTTTATTCACGGACTCCATTTTCTTATTTGTAGCCAAAACCTCTTTACCAGAAGGAAGAAACAACTAAAACTGGTCTTAAATGAAATACTTCAATTGAGATCTGTTAGCAGTATATTATATGAAGACCGAGTGCTGGCATTCTAAAAGTGAAATATCCTTATTATATATATTTTGCAAGTTTGCTTTGGACATATAAAAGTTCAAAAATCTCTCACAGTCCTCACTTTTCTAACCATCAACACTTTTTAGACAGTACTGGCCTGGCTATGATATTTACTGGGACACACATAGAAGAGACTTTTGAATTCTGCCAATATCCAGCTTGGTCATAAATCTCATGAAATGCTAGTCTTATTACTAAACACTCTCTATGGTGTTAATTACATCTGCACATGGATTTTCGCAACTATTTTTTGTAGAGTCTTCTTATATATTTTTAACTATTTAGAATCCTAAATGAGTGCAAGTTTCTCCCATACTTTCCATCCAGTGGCTAGTTCATCACACCCTAAGCTCCATTCAAGGCTTTTTGTGACCACCAAATTAAAAACTCACCTGCATTTTTTTAATTTCCCTCTCCATGTATACTAAATGACTGCATGGATAAATCATGTAATCACTGGCTTCCAAGCTCCCAGCCACCGGTAACTACTTACATTGAACAAATAACTTCAAACAGCTGTACAAAAATACCCAATATATGAAGTAAATAAATGAATAAAACTTATTAATATAGCAATTCATCAGATCTTGTCAGCTGCAACTTGGAGCTGGAATTAAATATATATTATATCATTAGATTAGGCAGACACGAGCAGGAAACAGAGTGGCACAATATCAATCTATCCCATCAAGGATTAACTCCAGTTCTTTGTACCTTGTTAATTGGTAATCAAAGGGTATATTGCATGATGATTCATCATCTTGTCTATGGGACATATACACGAGAGAAATCATACCTGACCCTTTCGAAGCCGATCTGAAGGGCATTTCAACGCCTCTTCAAGGAGTGATATAACAGTAGAGGAACAAGATGGATCTTGACTAGAGTCTGCAAGTGCATAGGCTTTCAGGAAGAATGCCTCAAATGATCTCTTAAGATTAATTGATTCCTCTGCTTTCCGTAGACCTTCCTCACAATGGCCGTATCATATAAGATCCATCCCTCATAAACCAGCTGTTCATGTTCACTTGATGCATGCTGGCGAGCCAACTGTAAACTCCGCATGGCTGCTTCTGGACAATTTAATCTGATAAAAAGTAACCATGACATCAGCTTGTAAACAAGTCCCAACTAATATTTTTCTGTTTCACAAGAAATTGAAGTGAAAAATAAAACCAAGTAACAAATAAACAGCTACTAAGAATTATATTATATCACAGAAACTATCTTAAAATTAATAAAAAAATAATAAATAACTAAATCCACACGATCAAAATTAAGTAATAAATACAATGAAATCTTGGAAAGGCTTCAAAAAAATCATGTGCAATACCTTAAAAGAAGCAAAGACTGTCTGAAATATAGAACTCCTTTTGCTGGATCAGATTCAAGCATTTGGTATACAACAGATAAGGATCCAATATCATCAACTGAAGACCACCTATCATAGAGCTGCAGCCAACAATCTGCTGTTGTCCAATTGTCAACATGCTCCCGCACAAGAGTACGGAGTTGGGAAGCAGCAACTCTGCCTCAAACATCCTATAGTCTGGGGAAAGTGTAAGAATTGCCTGAACATCACAAAGGGCTGCTTTGTAGTCTTCAAGAGACAGATAGAAAAAAAACCGCAGTTCCAAGCACTCCAGTGCTAGTTTGAAACCAAGAACGCGATTGACTTCTGCTAGGGCAGCTTCAACATTTTGTTTCTTCATCAAGGATGCAGCTCGATACATGTAAGGATAAGTAAGTGTTGGGTCCAATTCAGTTGCCTTCTCAAGATCTTCCCAACTTTTTTCATCTTCACAATATAGTGACCTCTCCTGATACATCCATCCAACTGGGGTGACACTAGAAATGACAGAACTAAGTTTATCATAACCCCAAGTTTTGTCACCCTTAATGCCACCAAGTCTGGCCAAACCAACTACTGAATAAACATGGCCTGCATTTAAAGCTGCCTCAAAAAATTTCTCAGCCACGTTGTATTCTTTCCTCCTGAATTTCACACATCCAAGCTGATGATATGCTACCAATCGCTGCCTATCAGTTTCGGCACACTCTATAAGTTTTTCTAATAGAATTGCTGTTTTATCTGAACAAGGATCCTGGTTCATAGCAACTTCACTTAACAAACAATAAAGTGAAAATGATGCTGCCCCAACCATGATTGATCTATATTGGCTATTAGCATTGCATAATAACTCAACTACCTCATTATCATTGAGAGAGTCAGGAAGCTCATGTAGAAACACTTGCAAACATGAAGCAGCAAGGACGGGAGAATTCTCTTCAAGAGCATATTCCATTAGTTCCACTGCATCCTGTCTACAGGAAACCAAAGATGCGAGTTTTCGGTCACAAGCATCCTTGAGCTTTTCACAGCAAAAAATGTTGGCAAAAACCAAGATTTCTAACAACAGCTTAGGAGGAGCTCCATTTAAACTTCCTGTCAGGCTAAAGTCACTGATTGCCCTCATACCCGATGGAGAAATATTATTTCTAGACAAATCTATGTCCTGACAATGTGATTCTGTGAAACATCCATTTAGCATTGCATTGAATGGCTCCGACAAGCCCGCAATCTTCTGCCTATCACATTCTACTTTTTCATCTTCAATCCAGAAAGAAACAGTTCTTAAAATTTGATTCTCATTCATCACAACATCTCCAGTGGAGTCAGTAGGGAGCTCGGAGGCAATATCTATCAGCCCAAACTCCTTGGCACATTTACCACAAGATGAAAGCAGGTCAGAGATGAACTCTTCACCTTGCTTCTCATACCTTAACCAAGCTCCAAAGATAAGTCTCTCATGGACGGTGCTTGCCTTCATCCAAGCTGATCGAAGACTTCTTCGCATCAGTTTGACTTCCCAAGGCCCTTAAAGACCTGATACTGCAATAAATATAGATTTGACCTCAAATGTGCCGGGCATGACTCCAGTTCCTCGTGAATTTGAGCTAAAACTTCTACATAATCAACAGGTTTGAAGAATGGGAGAATTGGTGGTTCGGGGACCTTGATAAAAGATTCTCTACACAAAAAGGAAAATTACTGTGCAATTGAATGAAAATAGAAGACGTTTCAAGATAATTTCTAATAAAATTCGAGAAAAAGGGCTTACATGGAAGGAGACTGAGATGAGGATTTGGAGAGCTTCCCCCTCTCAACTTGCAGCCATGACTGCGGATTGAGAGCATTAAGCTGAGCTTCTTTACAGGACTCCGAAGGGAGGAAAGTCCTCATGGGACATAAAAGACGAAACAAGTCCCAGATCTCCACAACAGCCAGATAGGTCTCACTCTAATATTCAAAAATCACCAGAATTGAGAACAAAAAAAATCCCTATTATCCGCAAACACTCCTCTCAGCTCAAAACTTCTTCAGGGAACAGAACTTCTAGGATAAAAATTAGAATCAAATACAAAGAACTCACACCATAATCCCACGGGGCTTTTTTCATCAAACGACATAGACCAAATTGCAGGGAGAGAGAGAGAGAGAGAGAGAGAGAGAGAGAGAGAGAGAGAGAGTAAGGGAAGAAAAAAAAGAAGGACAACGAGGAGTTCTCTTCCACCAAATAAACAGATTTCGGGAACCCCTTCTAACTGTTCATTCAATCATACCCCTCTGTGTTCTTCCTATAATATAGAAGGAAGGAACAAAATTAGTATGCTCTATCTGGTGTCAAATACTAACAGATATGTGGAAGTTTTTACCCAATAAGCGACATAGAAAACCAGAATAGGTCAGAGACATACCACAAGATTACTAATGATCTCCTCCAGAAGAACAAACCGAACCACCTCCAATCCCACCAAATCTCGTAACAACATCACCACAAACCTAAAACAACACATAAGGAAGGGAACCCACTAACCTTTTCTGAATGAAATCACTCGAACAGTGACCAAATGAAGTTCAAACCACCGAAATGAAAGCGAACCCACTAATTCTTCCGGCTTGGTTTTGCGAGACCAAAATCAAAATAATTGGGCGGAAATACCAGAGTTGCCAGAGAGCGTGAAGGATCAAAGCGAAGGAATCCGAAGTAAAAATTTCATTTTTCACTTTCTCTCGTTTGTTTGGTAAAAAGGAAAAGTTTTTCCCTTTTTTCTTTCCTCCACTTTCTTTTCCGTTGGAGGCCAGAGAGATTCAGCTACTGCTGTTCGTTCGCTGAAAGTGGCAAACGTATTATTTTAGACAAGAGTATCGAAATGGTTAATAGCCGAGATTTGACGGAGCGAGAAAGAACGGCTGCGTATATCGCTTTTTGGTACTAAAACGATGTCGTAATGAAATTTTTTTTGTTGCCCACGTCAAGTTGAGCTCCGTTTGAATAATGAAGGATTAATCATGGTGAGAAGAAAGGGAGAGATAGACGGAATGTCTTGTGTGTGATACGCT